AAGGCGTAGATTTTTTAAAGAATATTTTTTCAAGGCGTAGATTTTTTAAAGAATATTTTTTCAAGGCGTAGATTTTTTAAAGAATATTTTTTCAAGGCGTAGATTTTTTAAAGAATATTTTTTCAAGGCGTAGATTTTTTAAAGAATATTTTTTCAAGGCGTAGATTTTTTAAAGAATATTTTTTCAAGGCGTAGATTTTTTAAAGAATATTTTTTCAAGGCGTAGATTTTTTAAAGAATATTTTTTCAAGGCGTAGATTTTTTAAAGAATATTTTTTCAAGGCGTAGATTTTTTAAAGAATATTTTTTCAAGGCGTAGATTTTTTAAAGAATATTTTTTCAAGGCGTAGATTTTTTAAAGAATATTTTTTCAAGGCGTAGATTTTTTAAAGAATATTATTTCAAAGTGTAGATTTTTTAAAGAATATTTTTTCAAGGCGTAGATTTTTTAAAGAATATTTTTTCAAGGCGTAGATTTTTTAAAGAATATTTTTTCAAGGCGTAGATTTTTTAAAGAATATTTTTTCAAGGCGTAGATTTTTTAAAGAATATTTTTAAAGGTTCATATCGTGGCGTAATTTTTAAAGAATATTTTTTCAAGGCGTAGATTTTTTAAAGAATATTTTTAAAGGTTCATATCGTGGCGTAATTTTTAAAGAATAATTTTTAAAGGCTCATATCGTGGTGGTAAAATGTAGCCTCAGTGGCTATTGAGGAAATGCTTTCTTTAGGGAAAATAAAAAATCTGTTAATCAATTTATTAATTTATTTTGTACCTATTGTCCTCCATATCTCCCAAAAGAGGTCAAATAAAATAGCCGCCATTAAAATAAAAATTCTTTCACATGTGTTGAAAATAAATTGCCCGCAATTTGCCTTGTAATCGAGTTAATTGTTAACATAAGGCATTCTCCGAATAAGAATAACAATTGAAAATCCCAGTAAAAATCAAGGGAGTGACAGGCCAATTGTAACTGCCCAAAATGAAATTTTAAAATTTCCAGCAAAATTAAAACATACAGAAATTGCTGCTAAGTTAATTTGTAATACAAATGTGAATGTCAAGTTGTTAACAGAAAACAATAACAATTTCATACTTTCTTCCTTTTGGCCAGCAATTTATTATTGCAGTGTGCTCATTCACGGGCCTCATCAGCAGCAGCATCATCATCGTGGGCAGCAACAACCGAAGTGGATTCATTGCCACACGGCAATGATGACGATGATGGCTATGAGCTGGCACATTCACTTTTTGCCTCACATAAATATGTGAATGTGTGAAGCGGGAATCATTGCAATTCATATGGCCTAAATGAATTTTTGGCCCAAACGAAGAAAAAAAAACCATATTTAGCCTTTTTAAAAATATGCCTCGGTTTTAATTTATTATTTCTGCTGCTGCTGTTGTTGTTGGGAGTGTTGTTTCTGCAATGGGTTCTGTATTTAAAAATTATTTCATGTTCTTCATAAGTTTTGAGCCATTTTTTGCTGTTCAGCTGCAGCCCAAATGACCAGCAATTAAAAGTAAAAATTGTCGCACATTCATTTCGGACACAGGACACATGACGGCCGCTTAAATTGGTTCATTTCATAAAAATGTTTGTTTTTTTTTTAATTTTTTTGCTGTTTATTTTGTTGAAAAACAACAAAAGCACTGCTGCCGCGCCATGGTGGGAGGGTGTCAATATAATTGAGTCATAAAACATTCAACAAATATGACCAGATTTCCACTGAAAAAATCCCATGGCTTCATAGTTTTTATTGTTTTGTCCCGGGTTTTTTGTTCGTACTTTTTTTGGGAGCATGTTCTGCTTTCATTATTCTTCTTTCTTTCGCTTTTTTTATTATTTTGAAATTTCCCATTAAATTGAAAATATAAATTGTTAATAAAAATTTAATTCATTTTTCGTACAATGTAAGGTGTGTGATTTTCTTTTTTCTACATTGTAAATTTCACAAGTGGAACAGAGGGAGCAAGATTTTCCAGGAGGTTAAATAGATATTTATTAAATTGAAACCATTTAAAATTTGCTAGAAATATTAAAAAAAATATTCTATAGGCCATAACAAATTAAAGCCTGCCCTACCATATTTAATCTCGAAAACTATCAATAATAAATTGTATTAAAAAATATTTTTTACAAAAAATTTTTCTCTACAAAAATTCTGAATTTTGAAATCCCCTTAATGTGTTTTTAGATTTTAAAACTATTTTATGCCAATTGTTTACAGTCACGTTAACTGTGCCAAAGAACAGGCCTCTAAATTATTCATTTGTTTACAATTACTGCTGTCGGTTTTTTGAATAATTTTTTTTTTTTAAGTTCATTAACAATAAAACTACGCACTCAACACAACAACACTATGTGCAACAGGTATGTGTCAAACATGAATTATTTGGATATTAAGGTTGAAATAGAAATTTCTCAGAAAAATAATAAAAAAAATCCACACCTATAGGGGCTACTCAAAAAATAATTTTAACCAGTAAGGAAAGTAGTAAAGTCGGACTGGGCCGACTATATGATACCCTTCAGCACTTTGGCATATTCTACATATATATATATATATATATATATATATATATATATATATATCATAATAGACGTCGCCTTTTCGAAGGCACATTGACATGAAATTGAACGAACTCAAATATGTAATCTTTATTTAACTAACTGACATCAATCCGTACATATATTCTGACACGTATGCTAAGTTTCATTTCATTCTGGCAGATTTTTGCGTACAATGGGACAAATTTATGAAAATTGATTTATAGCACAATTGATACACGCTATTCGGTATGCCGCACTGTTCAAAATTTAATCTCAATCAACACCCGTTGGAAATATATATGAAAGCTATGTCTGCATCTGCACCAATTTCAACCAATCGCAATAACGTCATTTTAGTCTCAATTTGATACGTTGTGTAAACTTTCGTGTCAATCGGACAAACATTAGGAGTTTGGTGCACCATTTACCTAAAATCCGACGAAATTATATATGAGATCTAAATCTAAATCTGAACCGATCTTCATGAAACATAGCACAAATCATTCTAGACTCCATATAGGGTCTTTGGTGCACCATTTACATAAAATCGGACGAAAATATATATCGGACCTATATCTAAATCTGCACCGATTTTAACGAAACATAGCATACATCATTCTAGACCCAATCCATTTCGCTATGCCAAATTCCGGGCAAATCAAAAGATATATAGGTACACCATTGGTACACCATTTACTTTAAATCGGACGAAGAGATATACATGGGAGCTATATCTAAATCTGAACCGATTTTCACGAAATTTAACACACATCATTCTAGACCTAATTCATTACGCTATGCCAAATTTCGTGCAAATCGAAAGATATATAGGGACTTTGGTGCACCACTTACATAAAATCGGACCAAAATATATATGGGAGCTTTATCTAAATCTGAACCGATTTTCACGAAACTTAGCACACATCATTCAAGGCAAAATTCAGTACTCTGTGTCAATTTTCGTACAAATCAAAAGATATATAGGGACTTTGCTATACCATTACCTTAAATCGGACGAAAATATATATGGGAGCTATATCTAAATTTGAACCGATTTTCACGAAACTTTACACACATCATTATGGACCTAATTCAGTACCCTATACCAAATTTCGTGCAAATCGAAAGATATATTAGGGCTTTGGAGACCCATTTCCCTTCAATCGGACGAAAATATATATGGGAGCTATATCTAAATCTGAACTGATTTTCACCATACTTAGCATACGTCATTATAGACTCAATTGAGTTCACCATGCGAAATTTCGTGCAAATCGAAGAATATATAGGGTCTGTGTCAACATTTACCTTAAATCGGACGAAAATATATATGGGAGCTATAAAATCTGAACCGATTTACACGAAACTTAACACACATCATTCCAGGCTCAGTTCAGTAAACTACGCCTAATTTCGTGCAAATCGAAAGATATTTGGTGCACCATTTACATAAAATCGGTCGAAACTATATATTGGAGCTATATCTAAATCTAAACGGATTTTCTCCAATTGCAATAGAGTTCTTCCTTGGGTCAAAAAAATGAGCTGTGCCAAATTTCATTCAATTCGAATCATAAACGAGACATGTACTTTGTTTACAATTTAACATAAACAGACAGACGAACGGACGGACGGACATGCATAAATCGACTCAGAAAGTGATTCTATGCATATTCTCAAAAGGAACTATGGGCCTTTCTCGTTTCCTTTTGCCGGTTACATACATATGCACAAAGACATAATACTCTGAACCACAGTGTGTTGAAGGGTATAAAAAAATTAAAAAAATCCATCCATATTTTTAAATAATCCACGCCTTGTATGGATGGCTGCCTTGAAGATATATTCTTTAAAAAGTCCACGCCTTGTATGGATGGCTGCCTTGAAAAAATATTCTTTAAAAAATCCACGCCTTGTATGGATGGCTGCCTTGAAAAAATATTCTTTAAAAAATCCACGCCTTGTATGGATGGCTGCCTTGAAAAAATATTCTTTAAAAAATCCACGCCATGTATGGATGGCTGCCTTGAAAAAATATTTTTTAAAAAATCCACGCCTTGTACGGATGGCTGCCTTGAAAAAATATTCTTTAAAAAATCCACGCCTTGTATGGATGGCTGCCTTGAAAAAATATTCTTTAAAAAATCCACGCCTTGGATGGATGGCTGCCTTGAAAAAATATTCTTTAAAAAATCTACGCCTTGTATGGATGCTTGAAAAAAATTTAATAAATTTACTTCGCTTAAATGGACCTCTTTAGAAGTTCTTAAAAATACTACTTTTGTTACTTCCTTTGTTTTCTTCATTCCACCCCAATATTCACCCGCACATAAAAAACCTATTTGGAAGCCAACGGAAAAAACAACACAACGTAAATAAAAAGTAAATACGCAAATAATTCTTATGTGTTATTTTTTTAATTCGGTTACGTTTTGACCCACTTACCTGGTAATGACAATACGCCATTCAAAGCCAGCAAGGTGACAACGAATAGACCAATGAAAGATTTCATTTTGTCGCTATCGATGGGAATTTGTTTGTTAATGGACTTTTCCTTTTAAATTTTTCACTCACGTAATTGGATATTTTTTTCACTTTTTTTCAAAAATGGTTTTCAAATATTTCTTTTTTTGACAATTCTTATAATTTTTCAATTTTTATTTAGCACTGCAAATTCTAGAACAAAAAGAAGAAGAAGATTTTTTATTATTACTAATTATTTGTATTTGTTGATTTAATTGAAGGTAATTAAATTTTTATTGCTATTGTTGTTGTCTGTGAATGCGAAAAAAAAACAAAATGACAAAAAATAGAACTGCTCCCACACTCAAATATTTTATTATTATTTATTTATTTTTTTTTTTTTTTTGAAACGTATATTTTTGAAATTTATTTCAAATATTTTTTTAACTTTTCCAAATATAATTTTTTGAATTGCCTTTTTCAAAATTTTTTATTTCAATTTCTATATTTCTGTTTTCAGAATATTTCTTGACGTTGTTGTTGTTATTTTATTGGTTTATTTGGCTTGGTTGGTTTGATTTGTTTGTCTTGTCTTTGCGCGTCTGCAGTCTACAAAGGTTTGTTGAAAACTTGGCCGGTTTTGGAATAAAATTAAAAGCGACAGGTTCTCAGTCATTCAGTTTATACTCAATTCTAGTTTTGGGACAGACATTTTTGTGTGTTCTGTAGAAGCTTGAAAGCAGAAGCGTAAAGCGTACGATAACGACGGCATCGGCGAAGACGACACCGTTCGCCAGTTACGCTTATCATTCATTCTACAGTGCTGTGTCTGGGTTACTCGCTCGACTCGGCCGCTAGCTTCTGAGTCCAACAAAATGTGCGGGTATCTCTACCCGTTGTTATTGTTGCTGTTTTATTAGCTGCAGTGACATTTGTGAGAATCAATGCGATTCCATACAAATGAGTAGTAGCTGGCTGCGCTTTATTGGGAAGTTTGCCGGCTTGGGTACCCTTTGACGAATGGTGTACCCCATCAACCAAGCTCACCGCGTGACGTGGAGAGTGACCACAATGAGTAGTTGGATAATTTGTGTTTGAGTGTTGTTTTTTTACAGATTTTGTTGTTTTTTTACATACAATTTTATTATGTATGTTTTATACCCTACAGCCTATGGTGGGTATTTAAAAATACATTTTTTGAAGAAAAAATATAGACGTAGATTAAAATACCCTACACAACTATGTTGTCAGGGTATTATAGCTTTGTGCAGCCCCAAGAGTTTGTAATGCCGCGAAATATTGGTCCTAGACCTACCTTTAAGTATACCGATCGTCATATCTCGACTAGCTGAGTCGATCTAGACATGTGTGTCTGTCCGTCCGTCTGTCCATTATAATTAGTAAACACGATACATGCCACAGTTATGGACCAATCTTCACGAAATTTTGCATGCCGGATGGGTTCTGGCCAATGAAGACCCCTATTGTTATTGGAAAAGATAGGTTAATATTTAGGGGATGAAATGGACCAAATACTTAATTTTTGTCGGTTTTTCTGGTCGCTCCAGAGGCCGCAATTATGGCCCAAACATCTCGAATTTATAAATGGAGAAGGGGATTGGACCAAAGAATAAGCATGCCTATATTGATAAAGATCGGTCAATATATATCGTATATATTTGCTCCTGAAGGACATAGAGCCGAGAAGTTGATAGTATATCCAAAAGGAGTTCTTGACCTTTAAATTGATGCCAATTATATTGTCGTAAGTACTCGGATGCGGGAGTTACACTTAAATATTTACGGGTGCTTACATATTCAGATATTCGGGCATGTTCTGGCATTCACTTCAACGGCAGAAGTGTATCGAACACACGCCGAGGTGTTCTGTAACACACTTTACACCCATTTGAGGTGTATTCTTTACACTTACATTTCCATAGTGAGAGTCGGGTGTATTCCTGTTTTTTCATATAAAAGAACATCTTTTTTGGAATAAAAAACGCACATGATGATAGATTGATATGTTATTATTGCGTATAATTTGATTAAAATCACAAAATGAACATGAAACACCATTAAATACAAATTTTAAATAGATACTTGAATTTTCTTCAACTGAATTTCTTGCTTGCCACAAACAGCTGATTTGATGTAAGGCCGAAAAAGATAGGGTTACCAAATGTTCCCCCTAAATCAATCAACAATTTAATGATATTACAGAGGTTTCATACATATATTTTATGTTGCGAATAATAAAATATTAAAAAAAATAATAAAATTGTCGTTAGAATTAACGAAATTACTAAAAAATTACAGAAGCAATGCTAAAAACGAATACAGTTTATATTGTATGGCAACAATATTTCTGCAAAGTACCATGTCGACGTTTATTTTTGTCGCAGTTCAAAATTTCAATTCACGTGAGAAGCAGAACAGGAGGTAGCTTCTGAGGTGAAGTGTATGTGTAATGTGAAAAGAACACACCGTGAGTTCCAGAACATACCCGATTATTTAGTAACCCATTGCCCCACTAAAGGGCGGAAATATAGCGCTAATCGCTTTGAAATGTTCATGAGGTTCTAGTTATGGTCAAGGACAATGCCTATAATTTTCGGCGATGATATGGGAATGAAGTGGACCGAAAACTTAAATTTTTTGTGGGCCACAATATCACAATATAACCCACGGTAAAGAGAATCTGGACAAGTACAGTCCTCGTCTAATGAATATTATAAATATTTTTTGACATCTAGTCGGTCTAGAAGGTGCAAATATCGCGAACTATTGTCCAAGCTCTGAATATAGAACCATGGAAAATTAGATTTTCGTCGAAATTGTGTAAAGTATCACATGGTCGGCGCCGTCCGACTATACTGCTCCGCTCACGGGTTTAAAAATATTTTTTGAGGAACCACAATAGGCGTGAATTTTTATTCCCTTCGCCACACTGTGGTACGGGGTATTATGTCTTTGTGCATATGTTTATAACATGCAACGGAAACGAGATATACATAGAATAACTTTCTAAGTCGATTTATGCATGCCCGTCCGTTCGTCTGTCCATGTTAAATTCTAAACAAGGTACAGATCGCATTTATAACTCGAATTGGATGAAATTTGGCACAGCTCATTCATTTTGCTCAAGGACGAACCCTATTGAAATTGGGAAAAATCGGTTCAGATTTAGATATTGCTCCCATATATATTTTCGTCCGATTTATGGTAAATGGTCACCAAAGCCCCTAAATAGCTTTCGATTTGCACGAAATTTGGCACAGCGTAATCAATTGAGCCTAGATGTGTGCTATGTTTCGTAAAAATCGGTACAGATTCATATATAGCTCCCACATATATCTTCGTCCGATTTAATGTAAATGGTGCACCAAAGTCCCTAAATATCTTTAGATTTGCACGAAATTTGGCACAACGTAGTGAATTAAGCCTAGAATGATGTGTGCCAAATTTCGCGAACATCGATTCAGATATAGATATAGCTCCCATATATACATTCGTCCGATTTAAGGTAAATGGTGCACCAAAGTCCCTATATAACTTTCGATTTACACGAAGTTTGGCTTAGTGTACTGAATTGAGTCAGGAATGATGAGTGGTAAGTTTCGGAGAAATCGGTGCAGATTTCTGTATAGCTCCCATATATACTTTCCTCCGATTTTACGTAAATGGTGCAGCAAAGTCCCTATATATCCTTTGGTTTGCATGATATTTGGCAGTGAGTAATGAATTAGGTCCAGAATGAATGTGTTAAGTTTCCCGAAATCGGTTCAGATTTCGATAACTTCTATATCTGACCAAATGAACAATGTAGTATCGGTTGCGGAATGACATGTTTGTGGATCCAATTTCATTTTACTGGTCCTTAAAAAATATGACGTCTGTTAGGATTCATCTATTGAATATATCCAATGTTGTGAAGGGTATCATATAGTCGGCCTCGTCCGACTTTACTACTTTCCTTACTGATTTAAAAATATTGTTTGAGGCAGAAAAATAGGCCTGGATTTTTTAAAAATATTTTTTTAGGCAGCAATATAGGCGTGGAATTTTTTTAAATTTTTAGGGGACTAAATATAGACGTGGATTTTAAAAAAATATGTTCTTGGAGGCAGCAATATAGGCTTGGTTTTTTAAAACATTTTTTGACGCCTAGATTTTTTTAAAATATTTTTTGAGTTTTTTTTTTTAATATCCATGGTGAAGGGTATAACAAAATTCGGTACGGTCGAACTTGTTATTATTCGTGCTTAAGCGTAAATGTGTTTTGTTTTTGTTTGCCTTCTTTGGAAACAAAATAACAGAAAATTACAATATGAACTACGACTTTACCGGATAGTCAGTCGGTCCGGTCCGATCCGTCAAAAAAGCATCAGTTGAACAAAACAAATTAAGGGAAATTCAATGTTTTGATTGTTGCTGTTGCATTTGTTGTCATTTGTTATTTAAATTATAGTGTAGCATGGCGGAACAGTGATGGCCAATAAAATAGCAATGCTGAAGAAAACACCCTATTTAGATTTTGTGGTACCTCAGGCACAATAAAGATTATCTCCTGTTCTTTAATATCCTGCAGCAGTATGCCTCCTGCAGAATAGGCACATAGAATCGCATCGATTCGCACTTTGCTTAATTATGCATCAAGGACACAACTTCTGTCTGATCGATACAAAATTATGCACTTATGGCCGAAGTGGGCACATAATGACTTATGTTTGTATTTTTTTCAAATCGAATTTAGGTATGACTAATATAGATGATCCACGATTCCCGCTTTCTGCATATACCAATGGTGGTGTGGGTTATCATATATTCGACCTCGTCTGACATTAATTCTTTCCCAGCTATCATTGTCTTCAATTGTAGAATGTATTTTTTTTTTCTTCCTATAAAAAAGTGAAAATCACCGATGCTCATCACCCATTGCTGTAACCCAACACCCGATGCTGGACACCGGTATTCTTTTTTTGCAAACAATCTAACAAAAACGACACCACCAACAACAATCACTCGCTCACAATATGCCGTTTCGAATTTCCATTTCCATTAAATTAAAGTGACTGTAATGGGCATCTATTTTATGACATTA